CTGTTCCTTCAGGGTGGAGTACAGATGTTTGTATGTCAGGTACGTAATTCTAAAGAATACTTTTTAATTATAATTGAATGAATATATAGTTGTTGTAATTAACAAAAGCTTTGCATGTATACAGATTATGGTGGCAGTGGTTATATGGTGGAAATTTGGGGTGAGCGGGGAGACGAGCCAGCTGCCGATGTGGTTTGCTATCCTTGTGGTGATATTTATATGTCTATTCATGGCAGCATTTGCGTGGTCGTGGGGACCTCTGGGTTGGTTGGTGCCGAGTGAGATGTCGCCGCTGGGAATCCGATCGGCAACTCAGAGCATTACGGTTTCAGTCAACATGTTATTTACTTTCCTGATTGCTCAGCTGTTCCTCAGCTTGCTATGCAGAATGAAGTTCAGACTCTTCTTCATGTTCGCTTTCTTCATCACCATCATGACCTGCTTCATCTTCTTCTTCTTGCTAGAAACCAAGAACGTCCCCATTGAAAACATGTCCGTCGTCTGGAGCCAACACTGGTTCTGGAAGAGATTCATGCTTGCAGATGGCCCTGAAGATAATGGCAAAACTCTGGAATTAGTCTAGTCTAAAATCTAATATATAAATGTAGTCTCCGCTTGATGATTCTTTTATTTTCTCTTTTTAAACTTTAGTCATTATGTATGTATATATGTAGTTCTGTCATAAAACAGAGCAAAAGAGAGAATTAGCTTTCTAGACTTGTAAGCTGTTGTTGTGCTGTAATTATTTACTCTGTTTTTTCTGTTTCATTTTTCATTACCATCTCTATGATTCTTGATTTGCTTGAAAATTCTGTTGATGGAGATTACGTCATGAAATTAATACTTTCACGTGTAGTCAACAAATTAATGAGAAAATAAGGTCAAACAATATTCGGTCAAATCAAATTTCATTAAAATAGTTTTTTATTAATTTTAATCGATATAATTTTTATAATTACAAACTGTAAGCCATCATATACATTAAATTCATCTTACTCATTATGAATTTTAACGGAAAATAATTATTTCATTAATCATTTCCAATAATCAAAACCATAAAACCATTTAAAATAATAATTATTAGGTTAGTTAAGTTTTTAATATATTTTTATGACGTCATTATTTTGCATCCAATGTACATTATATATAATTTTATAAAAAAATATTGATGTAAATTTGATATTTATTAAATAAAATAATTTACATTAAAAAAATTATCTTACCAAAAAATAAATATAAAAAATATATATGTATTTTATAAAAATGGACAGTTACTTGAATTTGGTAGATGGTATAAAAGCAGATTCCAGAGCGAAGCGGCCAAGAACAAGATCCAACCGGATGACCCAGCGCAAGCCCACCATGTTACCCGAAACTCGAACCATTCTACACCGATCACGCACCCGTCTCCTCCATATGCTAACAAGTGGCGCTTAATCAAGATCCACGCAGACGCTCTCTTTTCTAACTAATCCCATCTTAACCCTACCTTTTCTGTCTTCTTAATCACAATTTACGCCTTCTTGTCTCTGCTTTAAACCCTTCCTCCTTCGCTATTGGATAATTTTCTCAACTGGGTACGTAAAATTTTTATCTATTCTTTCTTCTTTACTTCTCCCCGTTTTCTTCTTCATTATCTTCTTCTTCTACCTATGTGTTTGGTAACTTTCCTTTTTAATCCGAGATTGCAAAGAGTAATGTGGGTTAGTTTGATTTTCTTTTGAGTTCGTTTAGGAATGTTGGAAACTATGAGATTGGTTGTCTTGGATTTTTTATTCTGACAATGTGTTTTAGTATTGTGGACGTATTTTTTTCGTCGATTTATGGGAACTATGAATATGGGTGTTCGCCTGCTTTTCTGTTTTGGTGGTGAAATGCGAAATAGGGTTTTTGTTTCTTGTTTTTCTTTTTTGTGTACAGTGACGTGTGCTTCTGGAATCTAGAGTAGGCATATTGTTCAGCAAGAAACTTAAGGAGATGGAAATGTTAGAGTGGGTTGATTTAAATTTTAGTGCAAGTCTTTTTCGTTTATTTTGCATGGTTGTTTTTTTTTTTTTTGGGTCTTATTTGATTGCTATGAGAATGGAGCTTATTGTTCCTGTGTTCTGAGAATGGGTTTGTAAATTGGTATTATCGGGAGGCAATTACATATTCACGCACTCAATTCTGCAATTCGTGAAAGTACTAGAATTTCATTTTTGCAGCTTAGGAAGGAGCTTATTTTTACACCCTTGTATGCTATTCAATTCCATGCGTAAATTTTGCACGTTGAGATGCTTTTTGTTGTTTAGTAGGAGACCCAAGGGAGCTTAGTTTTGGGCGCTCGTACTGGCCATTTATAATGTCTAAGTTTGTTGAAATTCTTTTTGTTTGCACCTCCTTTTCTTAGTATAAATACATATATGTATATTTTGGATTTCTATACAAGAGCTTTTGATGGAAAGATTAGTGCAATGTTAGCCAAATATTGACTAAGTTTTTCTGGTAAGGGAGTCTTGTATTACTAACTTGGAAATTATGCTATGTTTTTGTCATTGTTATGCAGCTAATTGTCATACTTCTCCTCCGTCTTGGGTTCATCCTTCCCCCTACCCAAATCCTCACCTAAATCAGATGCGAGTGTCCCTTCCTTTTGGTTAGGTGGTATTCAGTAAAACAAGTGGATCATCGATATGGATTTGGATCTTATCCGTGAAGTAAGTATTTCGGTTAATGATGCTGATAGTCTTGTTCCTGAGCTTGGGTCAAGTAAAGCTGATCTCCCTGAAAGGATCTCTTCGAATGGAGAGGTGAACGGAGAATTAGGAAAGGCATGTGAGGTTCTGATCAGAGTCGAATTGGATTTAGCATGTTCTTCAGAGAAATTGGCAAACTTGAGTTTACTTCTAATGCATGTGGCAACAAGGGAAAGTGATTTTGAAACCTTTGCTGCAAAGAAAGAAAGTGTGGCAGTTGATTTTGTTGAAAAAGCTCTGGAGTTTAATCTTTTATCAGGAATTCTAGATTCAGAGTTGAGAGAATTGGATAACTTTATGAGTACTCTTCAAACAGACATTGGAAATGCTCATGATGGTATATGTTCATTCAAGCACTTGGAAGAAACTTTCTTGGAAATGGAACAAAAGTTGCATGATTCTGAAGAATCCTTGAAGCAGTTACAAGATCAAATCTCGGAAATGAGGATGCAATCTGCTAAGCTCCAAAGGATCTTGTCCTGTCTAGATGCAGATGGAAATTGTGAGTACCAAACCTTATTAAGTAGAACAGAGAATATTTTACCTCCTTTTTCTGCAGTCTTATATCTGTGATATAAGGGATTGATTTAGGAATTCATAAGATTGCTTTTTTTCCTCTGAAAAACAAATTTCTCCCTTTTCCTCCTGTGTGCCTTCCTCTTCAAACTTCTCAGGTTGAAAAAAAAATTATTTGAGGTTAGATTGCAAAAAGTGATGAAATTGTTTGCTGCTAATTTTTTTCTTCAAAAAAAGAATCATGTTCGCCTTATTTTCCCCTTATGTTGCTGAAGTAGCCTAGATGAACAGATTCAAAAATTTAAAAAGGTTTGAGACTGCTGATTCAAGCAGATATTTTTAGAGCATTTTGTACTCCCCTGGCTAAGTTTTGCTGCTACTTTATGAAACTGAGGGAAGTATAAAGAAGCATAGTCTGATAAATTTTTCCCAAAGAAAGTTGAAAGGAGAAGAATGCTTTAAATATTTTTCTGATGTGTTTGCAGGGAATGGTAACCAAGGAACCGACTTCTTAAAAGATGGCCAATTTTTGAGCGTGAATGCAAAGATCAAAATGCAAACTGTTGAGCAACAAAGGCATATTTTGAGGTTGTTGGAGAAATCTTTGGACAGAGAGATGGATCTTGAGAAGAAGTTAACCGACTCAAGACAGTTTGAGGAAGAGCTGAAAATGAGGCTATTCTCTTCCGAACGTGACATGTATTGCATGGAAGAAGAAGCAGCAGATGCTTATGAAAGGTGCTTTGAGGCAGAGAATGCTCGTGAGATCCTGATGGGAA